ACCATAAGCAGACATTACACTAATGATGCAATATACAATAGGTTTGAAATCTTTACCACATAATAATTATAAAATATTTTTTTCTGGCACCTGTTGCAATGATCTTAACAAACAATGCTTGAGTAAACTGTTCTACTACCTGTGACCATGACACAGTTGTCACCTGTATCTTTCAGTTGGGGAAAACTCAGAAACAATGAGATTCAAGGTTAACTCTGTGTACTAGGACTGCTATAATACTTTCAAATCAAGTGAAAGAAGTCTTGTGACAAAAGAAGTGTTGATAGTTGGATACCAAACAGATAGCAAGATTTTAGAGGTGTGGGAGGAATTTTTATGTGTTGCCTTAAAGACTGAACCTCAGTAGGAAATGATCTGCAAAACTCTTATAAAACAAATTTCATGATCCCAACTTCAACAGTTTTAAGTCTGCTATTGTCCCTCCAGCTGACAAGCCTGCATTACCGTAATTGCTACGACAACAGAAAAGATACACCTTGCCTAACCAAGTAATCCTGCCCAGCCCAGCTTGGCCACGGAAAAATAGCACCTGCTTCAGTCCAGTGTGACTGCATTGGCACACCACAGTGTGTATGATCCTGGCTACTGTGCCAGGCTATGAGTGAAATGATGGTTCTTAACAGCACGCAGAATATACACTGCTGTTCGAAACATTCACCCACAACCTGCAGTGATTCATCGCTCAGCTGTGTAAGCTCTCCATCAGTTCACTCAAAACATAGTTCCCTAAACTGTATGTCATATTGATACCACATCACTCCTTTACCAGAAAGGTTCATGAAGCTTCTGGCTACCCGGTGGTATCCTTGGAGATGATATTTTTTCGTAGGTGGCTTATTCAAATACAATGGATTGAGCACGGAGCAGGCAGATGTAAAACAATCATTGAGTTATGAGTGATTTAGCGGGCAGAAAAAGGGAGCATGTAAGTGCAATTACGTGGTCAGTTCTGAGGCTGAATTCCATCGTAGTACTGGGGGACCAACCATAGCAGTGGCAAGCTATGTTCTCAAAGGTGGAAAGTGGGAGATATGATGTTTCCTCAGCTGGGCCTGACAATTAAACCTTAATACATTTCCAAACTTAGATTATAAAAACTTTTTTTGGTGGCTAAGAAGGCTTAGAGAGAAAATACCCAGATCAGAACTGGGCCGACTTTACAGAAGAGAAATATATGCTGTGAAAGAAGATGACAATGACAAGCTGGGTTGGTCAGATGGGGAAAAAAGTACCTCCCGAACTATCTTGAAGATCATTACCATTAGTCTTAGCTCATTAAGCCTCAGAGTTACCATCACTCTTGACACTGTCTACAAACAGGTTCGAATGACTGTATAGATAGTAAGATGGTGAAAATCCGGAGAAACCTGTAATTAACACACAGGGTAGTGGCTGTCCTGAATATCAGAACAGGCGACCACAAAATACAGTGCACTTCTTTGAGTGTGATTTTGTTGCCTGGTAAAACACATTAGCCTAAGTTGCAGGGGAGGGAATTACAATTAGGGAAAAAAAGATTCGTCTTCACCAAGTTGAGTTTGTAGTAAAGTGCTCTTAGCTGTTGCTTGCTTCCTGCAGTACACTTTTTAAAAAATAAAGCAACTTTTAATTGTGATGTTATTTTTAATTGAACCTCCATGGTACAGGAGTGCTCTTCTCTGTATGGGCCATATCATCTGTCTTTCGTATTCTTGCTGTCAGATAGGAAATAACACAATACATTGGCTCATGATAACTGTAAAATATCTGAAGGATTTTTTAATTTTATTTTTGTCCAAGAAAAACTTTAACAAAGGTACTTCTATCTCCAGAAGTCATAACTACAGATTTGTACTTCTGAATTCCTTTTAGTCTTTTTCACATGGGAGTTTGGGTTTTTTTCTCTAGCTGGGTCTACGAGTTAATAGTGAACTTTGCTTCTCTTCCTGCCTCCTGCTTTCTGACAAACATGTTTGTAGTTTTGGTTTCAAGGTTCTGGATGAAAGTTTAGCTTGATGAAGTCAACGGTGAATTCCTCTGGTGATTTCAATCATGGTGTAATTCTAGCCAGTCCCACTCCCACGGTTCCCAGTTCTGATACCACATTATTTGACACTTTATATCCTGGCTACGCTGGACACTATGGAATCAGCCTCTTTTACAGTCATGACTTCAGATTTGCTGCTTCCATTTTCAACACTCTTGCAGCCTTCATTCTGAGAAGAGCCTAGGAACCAAGTGCCACACTTCTAGTGTATTTCAGGAAAGAACACACACACAATTCCAAGACAGCATTGTATTTTAATCTGTATGAAATCCATTTGCAGGAGGTCTACAATGCAATGCAGCGCACGCAGAAAGCGGTGTAATTCCTATGTTCTTATGAAGTATCTGGACTCTTTTTTCCCCCTAAAAAACAGCTATTTAGTCAAATTTAATATACACAGAAAATAAATCTCAGACAGTAAATATGTCCTGGTAGAGCTATTATCACCTGATGCAGAAGTTCTGGATCAAAAGCCGTTTCTTGGCCACTGCCAGACACTTTCCCTATTTATATCTTTTTTCCTCTGTATGATAATCTAGTTGCCAAACTGCTGGTTGAAGATAACCTCCTAGTGTTAGTGTTACCAGTTTTGGTGGGTCTCATTCAAGTTCCAGTTAAACTCAAAGTCAGGCTGGGAAAACAAACTCTCTTCCGCATAGAGAGAGGGTTATTTATCACCACACTTTTCCAGATGTAGCTCTGCTACTACAAGGCTGACTTAGGCAGCACGTTTGATTTCTAGAAGGGGTCACATATGTGACCTTCTACTATCAGCTCATGAAATCTGCAGGCAATGTAGTCAATTGACCAACCTGCAGCAGAAGACTAAAATCCTTACAGTAGCCCTTGGCTATTAAATGTAGCACTGGTGTATACATTTTCCATTATGGTAAATAGATTTTCATTAGGCACGTTAGGTAACACACAGCACGTACAAGTAAAACAGAAAACAGACACCACAAGACTGCTTTAATTATAATTTCAGAAAAAAACATTAAAATCCTGCTGTTACAAAAGAAGTGTAATACTAGAGCACTGTGAGTGTAGATAGTTTGTTCTTTTCGTACTTGTACACGGAACAATGCAGGAACTTTACCAAGCACAAACCTGATACGTGCCAAGCTTTGTTCTTTAGAGTTGAATTAAGGATGCTTTCACTGTCCAAGTTTCCAGTTCAGCTCATTATTAATCACTTTCCATCTTTCTGTTCATGCTTGTGAGGAAGGTGTTTTTACGTTTTTCTTGCTCTCCTCTTAGAGGACAGATTTCCACCTGCAGTCAAGTTGGTAACACTGCATGTAGCTCACAAGCAACGGGAGCTTGCTTATACTCTGCTTCCAGTGCACAGTGAGGGGTCATGGGTCTTAATTAATGCAGCTTTGTGTACTCCAACAGTGATAAACTTAAATGTACAATAAGAGATGGATGCAGATAGAGAAGCTGAGATAACACTAATCCATGTCGGGGAATAGCCAGTTATTAAAGCTAAGGAGGAGAAATAGGCAGTTTTCTAGAAGCAGGTTCAATGGGCAGGTACTTGGGAGACAAACTGTGCTGCTGTATGTGCTGGTGTAGCTGCTTAGGACAGGCATAAAACACATTTTGAGACTACTTTGGAGAGACAAGACCAGACTGACTCGTACTACACAATTCACAGCACAGCAATGTGCACTTTAAGAAAAGTATCAAGTTCCTCGTCACTTCTGATTGGGTCCCTTTGCTATTTTAGCTCTGCACGCTGTCTATAATTCCTGCTAGACCTACTGTAAGAAGAGGAGGGGTGATTTGGTCTCACAGTGGGGAATGTCAGATTGGGAGTGGTTTGATGGACTCACTTGAAGGGTAGCTCAGATAGGGGGAAAGTTCTATGAAGAAGTTGTGCAGGTTGGATAGGAAAAAGGGACTGATGGAAGGAGCACTGGTAGGTGCAATCTACTGCATACCATGCTGTAAGTGTCAAAGCACTTCTTTTGGCTAACAAACAGAATGAAACAAAGCAATTTTTCTTGGCTTTTACTGAAAAAAAAAAACAACCCCAAAAACTTTTACAGGTACACAGCTGAAGGGGTCACAGTCAGGCATTAAAGTCTCTTCATCAAATACAATATACTGTATGGAGATTCTTCACAAAGTGTTGGGGGAGAACAAGAGGAGGAAGAAAGTTGCACTGCTCCCACCTGCTCAAAGGCAACAATCCTTTTTTTCACCTCACCAAGAGAATGAAAAAACAAGCTTCATTCCTCCCACCACTGCAGCCCCTGTGAGTGGAGGGAGGCAGCACTGACCTACTGACATTCACAAGCAGTTGCAAGTGGCCACCCCAAACCCTGCAGATGCTCCTCAGTGCAGGTGAGGAGATAAAAAGATAAAAACCATTGCTGGTGCCCAGCAGAGCTGACAGCATGCATTGCCATGGAGTACCTGTGTTCCAGAGGCCCTTTCCTTGCTTCCAGAACACTTAGAGAGAACAGAACATCTGCTACAAACACAGTCACCACCCTGTCTTCTTCCCTTTCACAAGCCATAAGTCCCCCCCAAAAACCCTTCACCCCACTTTTGACCAAAACCCTTTGTTATTGGCTTGCCTCTGAAGCTGACAGAGTGTGTTTGTGATACCTGGCTCTTCCCTGGGCACTACAAACTTCTCTGGGCCTTTCCACTCCCACTTTTTGAAAAGTGACTCTGTCCCAACAACAGGATCCCAGCAGTAGGCAGACTTGGACAAGCTGCTGCCAGAAGGCTGCTCTATTTTGTGGATGCAGGAATACTGAATTAGGTCATGATCTTTAAAACTTGCCTCAGTGGCAGCTTCCCAGGGAGGCTATCATTTCTAAAACATGTATGAATTTCATTTTTATCCTTTTCCTCAAGTGTGAAAATATTGCTGATTGTTTTCTGACACCTAAGAAAGTTTGAGGGAAATAGGGAGCTCAGAAATCCTGAAACTGGGGAATTATTTTAAAACCGTTGTTTTCCTGGATTCTTTCATGCAGATTTTTAACACTAGGTAACACAACTCAGCCAGATTCAACATCATGCAGATTCCAGACACGGCAAGCATGAAAATAGTAAAAGTGGTTTTCTCAGTGGGCCGAGACACAAAACAGTCCACAGTGTTGGGGCAGGGCCATGCATTGCACTTCACCAGGCGAGGCATCTGGTACCCATCGTACATGTAATAGAATACATACATGAAGACTGCTTCAAAGACGATCCTGAAGAAGATGCTGCTGGTGTACGTCCACCACAGGGGGCCCCGAATGTGAATCTTCTCATTTTTCAGCTCTTCAATATTAATTTTCTCACCATTTCTGAGCCGCCTTTTCTTCTCGTGCCTGGTGTAAGCTACGTGCATGGCCACCAGCAGCGCAGGTGTAGAAACAAAGATCAGCTGCAGGGCCCAGAGTCTGATGTGAGAGATGGGGAAAAAGTGATCATAGCAAACATTTCTGCACCCAGGCTGAAGCGTGTTGCAGACAAAATCTTGTTGTTCATCTCCCCAGACTCTCTCTGCAGCCACAACCAGGATCATGATACGGAAAATGAACAGGACTGTGAGCCATATCTTCCCAATACTGGTTGAGTGTTTATTTACGCCTCCTAAAACGGTCTGCAGACTTCCCCAGTCCATCTTTTCTGTGTCCTTTTACCTGCAGGATGACATAATACACCAAACAGTTTTCAAAGGATAAAGAATCAACTCAAGACCATCTACGAATGAGAGGACTTCCTAGCACTCACTCAAGAGTCACAGGCAAATGCAAGTCACTTTCATTAACGTCACCCAAACGTTTATGGATTCAAACAGCTTATTAAACTCTCTCCCTCCCTGTCTTTATGATGGGACAAGCAGGAAGTAAGTTACACCTTCAAATACATTTTCCCTGTGCATCCTCTATGGCCTCCTTCCCTTTCTCAAGATATTTCCCTTTCTGTGGTTGATTCTGGTCAGCATTTTGCCTCTCTATGTGTTTCCCAAAGCAACAGAAATTACTACCACTGCATGTGTTAAGACCGTATCTGGATGAAGTGGAGACTTCTCTAGTAGTCGTCATAGGATTTATTTGCCAACGCCACAGCCCTAGAAGGCTGGTCTGGTGCTTTCTTTGCCTCCAAGGTAAGTATGACTTGGCCTTCCTCAGCAGAAGCCCTCACTCCTCCCAGACGCCTCCAGCAGCCCTCCGAGGCTTTCTGCTGAAGCTCAGACTTGTCCGTTTCTTGGCAGGCCCTTCATCTCACAAGTACAGCATCTGAGTTTGCCAACACTGCTGAGAAGCCTCAGGACAGCTCTGTCAGGACTGCATGCATATACAGCACAAAACAACAGGCAGAGGAAGATACTGCAGAGCCTGCCCTGCCACATCCACTGCTATCTCATCCAGAAGGGAGACAAGCAGAGCCATAGACTTGGGAGGAAAAAGCCCTCAGCTAAAGAGTTTATGCTGATTTTCTAGATGCTATCACACCCCAGCAGAATAAACAGGAGGATAAACTTCAGAAAAGCTCCATTTCAACTTTACTCCTACTCTTGAAAACTAAAATCCACGCTCTTTGCCAGTTTGAAAGTTAAATATAAGTTTTGCTGAAGTCAGAATTCAGTCTCGGGGCTCAGCTTTCACTGCTGGCAGCCATTTGGAAACTATCATTGAATCGGACAAAGCACTCTGAAACCAGAGCTGGGAACTTGCATAGCTGGTCCATCGCCTTTGGGGGCCAGGGCTCAACTTGGCTGTGTGGGAGAGTGACACCGGCCGCGGGCAAGAGCTCCGTCCCCTCTTGGCGCAGGCTGCGTGCGGTGGGGAGAGCATGGCACCTTGCAACACCACATTGGCCAAAGTTTTCAAAATCTCTCATTCCCACATAACAGAGGAAAAAAGTAAATTCTTTACCCTGGTGTAGTTACAACACAACTAAAGGACTAACGTGCCCCGACACATATCCCTGGTACGAGGGCCCAGCCTGTACACACAAGCCTTGAGGCGAGAGGGAGAGGTCAGATTTACTGTGAGGAGGAAAGGTGAAATTGGGTAAGTAAAAAAAAAAAAAAAACCAACTTTGAGAAGGTGTCTGGAATTCCTTAGACTTCTCGTGTTTTGTCTCTGCTGAAACTGGCAGCCTTTTTACGCAAAGTTTTACACTCACCCGGACTCCGGGCTATGATCGGATGCCTGCATCCTTCTGTTAAGAATGTCCTGCTGTCTGCTGCACAGCCACTGAGACAAAGTCAGCGAAACCTTCACAAGCGGCTAACCAGGACTGAAGGAAAGCGCTCGAAGCGTACATCCCCGCGGGACGAACAACCCGGGCTCCACGCGTGGACTCACACCGCAGTTCTCAACCAGCGCTGCAAGTCTGGGAGGGGGGGACGGACAACCGACATTCCCCCCGGCTCATCTGCCACGGCAGAAACGCTGCAGCCGGCTGTGGGGACCGAGCGAATCCGCCGGCACGCTCACCCCGCCAGCCATTCACTGCAACCCACTGGAAACCCCCACTCGGCGGTCACAGCCAGCTCCCAGTGTCTCGTCCCC